ATACATTTGCAAAAGGCTAAAGCGTATCAGCTTAAATCATAATCATTCAGAATCCAATCTCTATCACTCAAAACAAACTTTCATATTCTGAATCCAAGGCCTTTTAACTCATGTAGATGCCACTTTTCGCAGTCAGACTGTTTAAGATTCCTCTGGAGAAAGAACTGCTGCACGTCCACTCGGTGAGTCCAAACGACACAGCTCGGTCCATGTACTTTCCACAAAAACACAGTCCGTCTGCAGCGAAACCTCGGCTCTTCCCGTTCCCAGAGAGCGTGTGATTTGTGTAACTCCAGACCATGGACCAACACGTGTTTACATGTTCCCTCTGACACCTGGGGATATGTGCGTGTTTAAAGGTCCCGTGTTCCAGGCGGTTAGCTCGGTGCAAGTCCGTAGAAAACAAGAAAATAAACAAGAAATGTCGCATCCTAAGTGGCTGTTTCTGGAGGTTCTCTGTCGCACTGTAAAGAGGATGAAGATGATGAAGACGCCACACAAAGCATTATTCATTCACCATTACACTGAAACTTCACCTTTGTGCTGGATTTAGAGTCGAGCTGCTGCAGGTTTAGGACCTAAATCCTCTCATAGCAACCGCATAGCAACCAACGAGCCAATCAAAAACAGGCCAAAGGCCAATTTGAGAATTGAAGGCCTCTGATTTGTCCGTTAGTATTGTTAGTATCATGATTATTCCAAGACTTTATCGAGATGAAAACTCTAGGATTAGGCCGAGCGCTGAAACCAAGCTTGGTTTGAGTCGTTAGAAAATCCTGAGGAAACATTTGACTGAATGGATGAAGTTTGGTTGTGCTTAGATTTTTACACTAGTTCACTATTGGCTGATGTTCTTTTTCCGTGAATTTTGTCAAAAAAACTGTCAAAACAAAGCAAGGCCAAACCTGAGGATGGAAACGTAGTGTTTCTGGGTCACATGGGTTAGGGCGACACTAAACCTGTTTTCCAACCAGGACTTCAATTTATAAAGAAAGTGAATGAACGCCACTCGGATAGATTAGCTTCACTCTGGATGGGACTCGAACCAACAACCCCTGCTTTAGGACAGCAATGCCTGAACCCTCAGAGGCTGCAGGGTTAGTAATGTCTGTTTTACACAATCTCAGGTCAATATTGTGAAGTTATGTCAAAGAGTAGTGTCCAGGACTAATGTGTTCGTCCGGATCTAAACCTGGATCTAACTGGATCTAAACCTGGATCTAAACCTGGATCTAACTGGATCTAAACCTGGATTTAACTGGATCTAACTGGATCTAAACCTGGATCTAACTGGATCTAAACCTGGATCTAAACCCGGATCTAAACCTGGATCTAAACCTGGATCTAAACCTGGATCTAAACCTGGATCTAAACCTGGATCTAACTGGATCTAAACCTGGATCTAACTGGATCTAACTGGATCTAAACCTGGATCTAACTGGATCTAAACCTGGATTTAACTGGATCTAACTGGATCTAAACCTGGATCTAACTGGATCTAAACCTGGATCTAAACCCGGATCTAAACCTGGATCTAACTGGATCTAAACCTGGATCTAAACCTGGATCTAAACCTGGATCTAAACCCGGATCTAAGCCTGAATCTAAAACTGGATCTAACTGGATCTAACTGGATCTAACTGGATCTAAACCTGGATCTAAGCCTGAATCTAAAACTGGATCTAACTGGATCTAAACCCGACCCTTTCCTTCTCCGTCTCTGGAAACATCTTTAAAGATCCAAAAGTCGTAGCTCCGTGAAGCTCAGTGGATTTTCCTTTCGCTCCTGAATCTAGGGCTGAAACAACTAATCGATTAATCGACGACTAATCGATTATTGAAATAGTCGACAACTATTTTAGTAATGGATTAATCGTTTTCTGGTTCACACGGACTCAAACAGAGCAAAAATGACATGAAAATGTAGTATTTTTGATTAAAACCGACTTTGTTTTTATAATTTCATGAATATCTGTCTCATCCAATCAGAGCAGAATTAGCACAAAGAGCCTGTTACAAACATTAAGTTTACGCCTCAATACGTCCTCGAGTGTTGCCACTTTAGCTTTTTGTGATGAAAAAATATTTTTTTTCTAGACAATTCACAGCCAAGCGATTACTCGATTAATCGTAAAAATAATCGTTAGTTGCAGCTCTACCTGAATCTTTACAATAATTATAACTTGGTCAAATGTCAGTTTCTGTTGAGGCTGAGATCCGTCCGGACTAAAACTTGTTTGTGGAAAATCACTCCATAAACACCTCCCGTCAGTTTGGATCCATATTCAGAACAGAAACACATTTGTAGGAGTCGAGATCTGACCTTTTTCATCCGGACGCGAGAAGGAAGTTTAAATCTGAGAGATGTCGAAGTTCTACTGGTAAAAGCAGAATCACGACCGTTTGATTGGACATATTTGTGTAAAGCCCTAAATCACAGCAGCAGTCGATTCCTCAAGAGCAGATCAGAGAATCACACACAGAGAGAGAGTAGACCCTCCTGCAGCAGAACTTTATATATTTATTCATTTATTTTGAATGAGGAATTTCACAGCTTTGTCCAAACAATAACAAGAGTAGAAGCCACACATCCATCTTCAGGAGACGACTGGGTCCATTTCAAGCAGAGACCAGAGTCTGAGAAACAGAAGCAAACTCAAAGACAACACAGTTTTCTTGGTTTTCGCCGCGGTTTTAGCACAACGTTAGCGAGTGAGTAATTAGCGTAGCCGCAGTTCGGACGTTGGAGCGCGTCCACTCTGACAAACCGACGAACTATGTCATTAGTTTCATCGACAGCTTATTGACTTTCATCTTGGCTCAAATCCTCCGCGTCGCGAGAGCAAAGCTAACAATCCATCACACCTCTCCTTTAAGATCCATCACTACAGTCACTACGGAGGGCGGCCATGTTGGAGAGGGAGGAGCTACAGTCACTACAGAGGGCGGCCATGTTGGAGAGGGAGGAGCTACAGTCACTACGGAGGGCGGCCATGTTGGAGAGGGAGGAGCTACAGTCACTACAGAGGGCGGCCATGTTGGAGAGGGAGGAGCTACAGTCACTACAGAGGGCGGCCATGTTGGAGAGGGAGGAGCTACAGTCACTACAGAGGGCGGCCATGTTGGAGAGGGAGGAGCTACAGTCACTACAGAGGGCGGCCATGTTGGAGAGGGAGGAGCTACAGTCACTACAGAGGGCGGCCATGTTGGAGAGGGAGGAGCTACAGTCACTACAGAGGGCGGCCATGTTGGAGAGGGAGGAGCTACAGTCACTACGGAGGGCGGCCATGTTGGAGAGGGAGGAGCTACAGTCACTACAGAGGGCGGCCATGTTGGAGAGGGAGGAGCTACAGTCTCGCTGATGAAACTCACTTACCAGAGATTTCTAGTCTTATATGTTTTGCATCCATCCATTTTCTCCCGCTTCATCCGTTGCCCGTTCTCAAGGGCAGCAGTCTAAGCAGAGACGCCCAGACTTCTCTATCCACACACATTTCCTGTATATTTTTTTATAAAACTTTAACTCAGAAACACAAAAAGGTCCATAAGAAACATTTACAAAACAGAAAATAAAAGGAGACAAAACACACATAATTCATAATACTAATAATAATGCATTGGTTTTATTCTGCTTTTCTAGACTCAAAGTCTCTTCATATTATTATTCTCTCTCTCCAAACACAGGTGATAAACTACTACTGTAGCCACAGCTGCCCTGGGGCACACTGACAGAAGCCCCTCCCACCACCACCAACCATTCACACACCAGACTCATTCTAATGTGGGGGAAGTGTCTTGCCTAAGGACACAACCACAGTTTGGCACTTTACAGCCGCAGCCGCCCCACTGTGGCACCTGCTGTTCCCAGAGGTCTCCCATCACAGCACTAACCAGGCCCTGTCCTGCTTAGTCTCAGAGGTCTCCCATCACAACCATGCCCTCTCAATCCAGTCTCAGCCCAAACAGCTCTTTCCTTACAAGACCAAGACAGAATGTTGTGGTCTGTTTAATCAGCACTTCTTTCAAACACCACTTTCCTGCACCTGAGGCCCCTGAGGCACTTGAGGCCCCTGAGGCACCTGAGGCCCCTGAGGCACTTGAGGCCCCTGAGGCACCTGAGGCACCTGAGGCCCCTGAGGCCCCTGAGGCACCTGAGGCCCTTGAGGCACCTGAGGCACCTGAGGCACCTGAGGCCCCTGAGGCACCTGAGGCCCCTGAGGCACCTGAGGCACCTGAGGCCCCTGAGGCCCCTGAGGCACCTGAGGCACCTGAGGCCCTTGAGGCACCTGAGGCCCCTGAGGCACCTGAGGCCCTTGAGGCACCTGAGGCCCCTGAGGCACCTGAGGCCCTTGAGGCACCTGAGGCACCTGAGGCACCTGAGGCACCTGAGGCACCTGAGGCCCCTGAGGCCCCTGAGGCCCCTGAGGCACCTTGAGGCCCTTGAGGCCCCTGAGGCCCCTGAGGCCCCTGAGGCACCTGAGGCCCCTGAGGCACCTGAGGAGGCAAACGTTGTTAGTTTGGGCTCTCATCGATCGGAGGCGTGCTCTGGTATTGATCCGATGGTCTGGAGTTTCCCATGATGCTTTGCTCCTCTGGTGATAGATGACTTTATGGAAGCCAGACGTTTATTCCAACGCGCTCTGCTCCGTCTGAATAACGCCGGCTCGTCACGGAGCCTCACGGCGACTGGGGCCCGGGCTGGGTTTACACAGCCAGGGGGCGCTCTCTGCTGTGATTGGTTGAACGGCTGCTGATGTCATCACTGCACGGTGTCCAATAGAGACGCTGGATCATGGAACGCTCTGATGACCGTGTTCGTCTCAGTTTGACAGACAACTTAGATCCATGTTTATTCCATGTCAGTGGGTCGTACTGGTCAAAAGTGTGATTTCCTGGGTTGGCTCGCCTCTCCGCAGACATCACTTAAAGCTGGGGTACCTAACTTTTGTCGTTCATCATCAACAGAAAGAGTTAGGGTTTGTAAAAGTACGATGTGAGTCACTTTGACTGGGTTCAGAGTCTGTGCTCCTGCTTGGTTGGAACGAAAACCTGCACATGTAAGTCAACCGTCTAAACATGTCATGGTCATAGAGAAGAAGAGATTCTGCATCGGTCCCACAGCAGGGAAAGTTCAGGGTTGCATCGCTACAGAACAGTAGAAGGAGGAGATGAAAGAACAATAACTCTATGATTAAATCAAATCAAATCTCTAACTTTAGCTTCAAATATAAAAGTCTGTCTTAGATCAGGGGTGTCCAACCTTTAGTAATCAGAGAGCTACTTTTATGCTACCAAAGAGGAAGAGAGCTACTGTTTTCTGCAGTCGTAAGAAAAAATACATGTAATAATTACGACAAACCAAAACACTGTATTTATATACAGTGTTTTGTTATTCATTTGTTAGATTCTTAATCCTTTGGGGAGCTACCTGAAAGAGGCGAGCTACAGGTAGCTCCCGGGGGCCACAGGTTGGAGGCCCCTGCTCTAGTAGAATATCTGGTTTGCTAACTTCGCTAACTCGCTATTGTCTGTTTGACACCGCTTCAGCCACATTCAGCTCCAACGTCTCTCAGATTCTCGCCGTGTCCGTGGCGTGTCCTGGCCGTGTTCTCGGCGTGTCCTGGCCGTGTTCTCGGCGTGTCCTGGCCGTGTTCTCGGCGTGTCCTGGCCGTGTTCTCGCCGTGTCCGTGGCGTGTCTTGGCTGTGTTCTCGCCGTGTCTATGGCGTGTCCTGGCGTGTGCGTGGCGTGTCCATGGCGTGTGCGTGGCGTGTCCTGGCCGTGTCCTGGCCGTGTCCTGGCGTGTCCATTGCGTGTGCGTGGCGTGTGCGTGCAGTACGGTGGCCGGGGATCCTCGTGTGCATGCTTATATTAACACGAATGATGTCAACTCGATGAATGAAACCTTCTGCAGGAGACGCTTTGGTCTGAGCTGATACTAACCCGACTAAACCTGCCTCCAGTAAACACAGGACACTGATTATCATGTACAGCTTTCTGGTATAAAATAATAAAACAATAATAATAATAATAATATACAGAGAGAGAGAAAAAGAAACTGGATCCTATTTTTATTTGTTTTTATATTTATTTATTGAAGAGGTTTACTTTTTTATGGAAGATGGTTTGCAGATGGCGTGTGTTTGGAGCCTTGAGAATGGAAATAAAAGGATTATGTACCATCCTGATCCTCTGCGTCTTCTCTGTCTATTCTGTTTATCCCAGAAGTCATGGGTTCGACTCCCACCTCCAGAGTTTCTCTCATCTCTCTCTACTGCTCTCTCCTCATATCCGCTCTCTCCTCCCTCTTTCTTCCCTCCTGCTCCTCCTCTTTCTCTCTTTCTCCTCTCTCTCCTTCCCTGTCGCCTCTTCTCTCTCTCTTCTAACTCTCCTCCTTCTCTCTCTCCTCCTCCTTCTCTCTCTCCTCCCTCTTCTCTCTCTCCTCATCTCTCTTTCTATTCTATTCTAATTCAGTGTATTCTGGGCAGTGGTTAAGTCTTTCACAGTTTGAAGGTTGTGGGTTCGATTCCACCTCCAGACCTCTCTGTGTTGGAATCGAACCCAGGACCTTCTTTAATCTCTGGCCCAAAAGCATAAAGAATGTTTGCAGCTCATCTTTGCGTCTGTGAATCTTTTACGTCATGAACTCGATCTTCTTTATTTAAATAAATGTGCAGAGATAAAGTCACAAACATACAAGTCTGTTGTACATGACAAATATATATATATATATATATATATATATATATATATATATATATATATATATATATATATATATATATATATACAGTGGCACTCATTATGGCTGCACAGGAGCAGGCCCTGAGCACCAGAGGAGACCCGAGGTGTGGCTCCTGAGACGATCCAACACATAACTGCAGGAGATGCTGCAGGGAACACCATAACCAAGGGTCTACAGAGTGAGTATGGGCTGGAAACTCTAAGGTCTAAGTGTGAGAGAGTCTGAAGGTAAAGGAGACAGTAGTGAGAGAGTCTGAAGGTAAAGGAGACAGCAGTGAGAGAGTCTGAAGGTAAAGGAGACAGTAGTGAGAGAGTCTGAAGGTAAAGGAGACAGTAGTGAGAGAGTCTGAAGGTAAAGGAGACAGCAGTGAGAGAGTCTGAAGGTAAAGGAGACAGTAGTGAGAGAGTCTGAAGGTAAAGGAGACAGTAGTGAGAGAGTCTGAAGGTAAAGGAGACAGTAGTGAGAGAGTCTGAAGGTAAAGGAGACAGTAGTGAGAGAGTCTGAGGTAAAGGAGACAGTAGTGAGAGAGTCTGAAGGTAAAGGAGACAGTAGTGAGAGAGTCTGAAGGTAAAGGAGACAGTAGTGAGAGAGTCTGAAGGTAAAGGAGACAGTAGTGAGAGAGTCTGAGGGTAAAGGAGACAGTAGTGAGAGAGTCTGAGGGTAAAGGAGACAGTAGTGAGAGAGTCTGAAGGTAAAGGAGACAGTAGTGAGAGAGTCTGAGGGTAAAGGAGACAGTAGTGAGAGAGTCTGAGGGTAAAGGAGACAGTAGTGAGAGAGTCTGAAGGTAAAGGAGACAGTAGTGAGAGAGTCTGAAGGTAAAGGAGACAGTAGTGAGAGAGTCTGAAGGTAAAGGAGACAGTAGTGAGAGAGTCTGAAGGTAAAGGAGACAGTAGTGAGAGAGTCTGAGGGTAAAGGAGACAGTAGTGAGAGAGTCTGAGGTAAAGGAGACAGTAGTGAGAGAGTCTGAAGGTAAAGGAGACAGTAGTGAGAGAGTCTGAAGGTAAAGGAGACAGTAGTGAGAGAGTCTGAGGGTAAAGGAGACAGTAGTGAGAGAGTCTGAAGGTAAAGGAGACAGTAGTGAGAGAGTCTGAAGGTAAAGGAGACAGTAGTGAGAGAGTCTGAGGTAAAGGAGACAGTAGTGAGAGAGTCTGAAGGTAAAGGAGACAGTAGTGAGAGAGTCTGAAGGTAAAGGAGACAGTAGTGAGAGAGTCTGAAGGTAAAGGAGACAGTAGTGAGAGAGTCTGAGGTAAAGGAGACAGTAGTGAGAGAGTCTGAAGGTAAAGGAGACAGTAGTGAGAGAGTCTGAAGGTAAAGGAGACAGTAGTGAGAGAGTCTGAAGGTAAAGGAGACAGTAGTGAGAGAGTCTGAAGGTAAAGGAGACAGTAGTGAGAGAGTCTGAAGGTAAAGGAGACAGTAGTGAGAGAGTCTGAAGGTAAAGGAGACAGTAGTGAGAGAGTCTGAGGTAAAGGAGACAGTAGTGAGAGAGTCTGAGGGTAAAGGAGACAGTAGTGAGAGAGTCTGAGGGTAAAGGAGACAGTAGTGAGAGAGTCTGAAGGTAAAGGAGACAGTAGTGAGAGAGTCTGAGGGTAAAGGAGACAGTAGTGAGAGAGTCTGAAGGTAAAGGAGACAGTAGTGAGAGAGTCTGAAGGTAAAGGAGACAGTAGTGAGAGAGTCTGAAGGTAAAGGAGACAGTAGTGAGAGAGTCTGAAGGTAAAGGAGACAGATGGAAGTTGAGTAAGAGACAGAGAGTCTGAAGGTAAAGGAGACAGTAGTGAGAGAGTCTGAAGGTAAAGGAGACAGTAGTGAGAGAGTCTGAGGGTAAAGGAGACAGTAGTGAGAGAGTCTGAGGGTAAAGGAGACAGTAGTGAGAGAGTCTGAGGGTAAAGGAGACAGTAGTGAGAGAGTCTGAAGGTAAAGGAGACAGTAGTGAGAGAGTCTGAAGGTAAAGGAGACAGTAGTGAGAGAGTCTGAAGGTAAAGGAGACAGTAGTGAGAGAGTCTGAAGGTAAAGGAGACAGTAGTGAGAGAGTCTGAAGGTAAAGGAGACAGTAGTGAGAGAGTCTGAAGGTAAAGGAGACAGTAGTGAGAGAGTCTGAAGGTAAAGGAGACAGTAGTGAGAGAGTCTGAAGGTAAAGGAGACAGTAGTGAGAGAGTCTGAAGGTAAAGGAGACAGTAGTGAGAGAGTCTGAAGGTAAAGGAGACAGTAGTGAGAGAGTCTGAAGGTAAAGGAGACAGTAGTGAGAGAGTCTGAAGGTAAAGGAGACAGTAGTGAGAGAGTCTGAAGGTAAAGGAGACAGTAGTGAGAGAGTCTGAAGGTAAAGGAGACAGTAGTGAGAGAGTCTGAAGGTAAAGGAGACAGTAGTGAGAGAGTCTGAAGGTAAAGGAGACAGTAGTGAGAGAGTCTGAAGGTAAAGGAGACAGTAGTGAGAGAGTCTGAAGGTAAAGGAGACAGTAGTGAGAGAGTCTGAAGGTAAAGGAGACAGTAGTGAGAGAGTCTGAGGGTAAAGGAGACAGTAGTGAGAGAGTCTGAAGGTAAAGGAGAGAGTAGTGAGAGAGTCTGAAGGTAAAGGAGACAGTAGTGAGAGAGTCTGAAGGTAAAGGAGACAGTAGTGAGAGAGTCTGAAGGTAAAGGAGACAGTAGTGAGAGAGTCTGAAGGTAAAGGAGACAGTAGTGAGAGAGTCTGAAGGTAAAGGAGACAGTAGTGAGAGAGTCTGAAGGTAAAGGAGACAGTAGTGAGAGAGTCTGAGGGTAAAGGAGACAGTAGTGAGAGAGTCTGAAGGTAAAGGAGACAGTAGTGAGAGAGTCTGAGGTAAAGGAGACAGTAGTGAGAGAGTCTGAAGGTAAAGGAGACAGTAGTGAGAGAGTCTGAAGGTAAAGGAGACAGTAGTGAGAGAGTCTGAAGGTAAAGGAGACAGTAGTGAGAGAGTCTGAAGGTAAAGGAGACAGTAGTGAGAGAGTCTGAGGGTAAAGGAGACAGTAGTGAGAGAGTCTGAAGGTAAAGGAGAGAGTAGTGAGAGAGTCTGAAGGTAAAGGAGACAGTAGTGAGAGAGTCTGAGGGTAAAGGAGACAGTAGTGAGAGAGTCTGAAGGTAAAGGAGACAGTAGTGAGAGAGTCTGAGGGTAAAGGAGACAGTAGTGAGAGAGTCTGAAGGTAAAGGAGACAGTAGTGAGAGAGTCTGAAGGTAAAGGAGACAGTAGTGAGAGAGTCTGAAGGTAAAGGAGACAGTAGTGAGAGAGTCTGAAGGTAAAGGAGACAGTAGTGAGAGAGTCTGAAGGTAAAGGAGACAGTAGTGAGAGAGTCTGAAGGTAAAGGAGACAGTAGTGAGAGAGTCTGAAGGTAAAGGAGACAGTAGTGAGAGAGTCTGAAGGTAAAGGAGACAGTAGTGAGAGAGTCTGAAGGTAAAGGAGACAGCAGTGAGAGAGTCTGAAGGTAAAGGAGACAGTAGTGAGAGAGTCTGAAGGTAAAGGAGACAGTAGTGAGAGAGTCTGAAGGTAAAGGAGACAGTAGTGAGAGAGTCTGAGGGTAAAGGAGACAGTAGTGAGAGAGTCTGAGGGTAAAGGAGACAGTAGTGAGAGAGTCTGAGGGTAAAGGAGACAGTAGTGAGAGAGTCTGAAGGTAAAGGAGACAGTAGTGAGAGAGTCTGAGGGTAAAGGAGACAGTAGTGAGAGAGTCTGAGGGTAAAGGAGACAGTAGTGAGAGAGTCTGAGGGTAAAGGAGACAGTAGTGAGAGAGTCTGAAGGTAAAGGAGACAGTAGTGAGAGAGTCTGAGGGTAAAGGAGACAGTAGTGAGAGAGTCTGAAGGTAAAGGAGACAGTAGTGAGAGAGTCTGAGGTAAAGGAGACAGTAGTGAGAGAGTCTGAAGGTAAAGGAGACAGTAGTGAGAGAGTCTGAAGGTAAAGGAGACAGTAGTGAGAGAGTCTGAAGGTAAAGGAGACAGTAGTGAGAGAGTCTGAGGGTAAAGGAGACAGTAGTGAGAGAGTCTGAGGGTAAAGGAGACAGTAGTGAGAGAGTCTGAAGGGTAAAGGAGACAGTAGTGAGAGAGTCTGAAGGTAAAGGAGACAGTAGTGAGAGAGTCTGAAGGTAAAGGAGACAGTAGTGAGAGAGTCTGAAGGTAAAGGAGACAGTAGTGAGAGAGTCTGAAGGTAAAGGAGACAGTAGTGAGAGAGTCTGAAGGTAAAGGAGACAGTAGTGAGAGTCTGAAGGTAAAGGAGACAGTAGTGAGAGAGTCTGAAGGTAAAGGAGACAGTAGTGAGAGAGTCTGAAGGTAAAGGAGACAGTAGTGAGAGAGTCTGAAGGTAAAGGAGACAGTAGTGAGAGAGTCTGAAGGTAAAGGAGACAGTAGTGAGAGAGTCTGAAGGTAAAGGAGACAGTAGTGAGAGAGTCTGAAGGTAAAGGAGACAGTAGTGAGAGAGTCTGAAGGTAAAGGAGACAGTAGTGA